AAATACTCTACAGGGACTTAGGATCACTACACCATGGCAGAGCTTGAACAGGTAGTAGATAGAATTATTAAATGACACAAATCCATTTCTTTTCTCTAGCAATCAATCTTCTCTGACAGTTTAATTAAAATATTGATTATGAATGGGGATAGTATAACTTGTATAACATTATTGAATTATACAGGGGAAATGAAAGAACATGAGGGTCAACTACAATGACTCCAAATGGAAGAATTAAGCCCTCCAAAAGATTATACATATGGCTTACAAATAAGTTTATGCATATACTTCATATTGACATTACTCACATTATTTTTTTCTTTTTTGAAAAAAACTCCTTAGCCCATGATATCCTGAGAATATTTTATACCTTTTTCTCTAAACAAAGAAATATGCCCAGATTATCAGGGAATGGCATTCTTAATGAGGAGCCAGCCAGGCCTCCTTTGAAATAGACTCCAACGGCTATTTATTGCTGAGTTCACAGAGGCAAGGTATTTCTGTCACCATATGGCAACCTCCCCTCCTCACTCGTGTCCTCAAAATGATCCATTTATACCCATTGCATCTCTGAATTCTTCCCCAAATCTGTGTCACTCAATACACACATACACCACACAAGTCATATTAGAGATGCTGGCACTAGCTCCCTATCAGTTCATTTTCAGATGAATAGCTGGTACTACAAAGTAACCAGCCTGGCTCTTCAAATAGGAGTCAGTAAAACCCGTAGCAGACAAGAAACCACCACCCCTACAAAAGAAACAACTGCCCTGATGTTAGCTAGTTCCTATACCTGGGTCTTGTGCTATTTATTATTTCTCAGAGGTGGAGCTTCAGTGCCTTCTTAACCAATGGTCAGACAGAGGAGCAGAACCCTGAGAAGACAAAGGAATGGGGAGAGGAGGCAAGGACAGGGGGAAAAGGTCTGAAGAAAGTGGAGTGTGAAACAATGGAAGTCAAGCAGGCAAAATTATGGGCGTAGGTAATGCATGTACCTAGGAAAAGTGTAGGAGAAAGACTGAAGCTAGAAGTTAGAGTTGGGGAGAGCAATATAAATAATAATAGCCAAGGACTTTGAATATCCTGGGAAAACTTGGGGCTGGCCTTCTGTGGTACTATCCTTAAGAAACTGGAGTGGTTTTCCTCATAAACAGAGTAGATTACCTATATCATGTGAGTTGCAGGATATGGTGAAATCTTCTTCACTCCTAAACCTAGATGCCACAATTCCTGAAATTCCTATACTAAGAATTAATCTGGATTAAGTTATGCCCTCTCCTGGTGGTCCTGCCTAAAAAACACATTTGTCTTAGGTATAACAAGAGGCAGCATGGCCTAGTGGATAGAGAACCGACCTCAAAGTCAGCAAGATCTGGGTGCAAGTCCTGCCTCTGACCTTGGGCAAGTCACTTAATCCATTAGTGACCCAGGTCCCTCATTAATAAAGACTATAAATTTCAGAGGAGTCGGTCCTTTCACAAGGAAAACGAAGCATAATACAGTTAGGTGTTGATACCTTGCTTGGCATGAATGAATAAACCAATGATTTTTTTCTTTCTGTCTGCTTAAGTAGGCTGAAAGCATGGGATATTTTCAGGGAAAAGGGAAGAGTGCTGTTCTTGGGGAGAAGATGGAAGAATTTAGATGATAATATAATTAAATAGATGAATTCTAATTCTAATTGATTGAATTCTAATTCCAATTCTAACTGTTTGAATAATCATACTCAAAGATAGTCCTTAATGTTTCCTGTCAGTCTGGCAGAGGGTCTATAGCAGAGTGCCCCAGGGATCTCTGTTTGATCCTAGATGGGCTAATATTTTTTATCAGTGATTTGGAATGAAGGCATAGACGGTATGATTATTACATTTGCAGATCATACAGAGCCAGAAGGGAAAGCCATAATGGTGGACAACAGTCCAAAAAGAACTTGACAGGCTAGAAGACTGGGCAGACTCTAATAAGATGAAATTCAATTATGATATATAGTAAATCTTATACTTGCGTTTAAACAATCTGGAAGGGGCAGGTATGGTTAGATAGCAGTTTGTCTGAAAAGAATCTGAGGTTTTGATGAATTGTAAACTCAATGTGAGTCAACTGCTTAATGTGGTAGCAAAATTAGCTAGCATGTTAGGGCTGGAAAGCAAAAACAAAGAAAGAATTGGATGGCAGAAGCTCCTTAAGACCTCTGCTGATTTGACAATTTTTCCTGGAGCCAGTTATACCAAGAGAAAGAAAATTTAGAAGAGGAAAAAAACAGAGAGGGGCAGGAAAAAACTGGAGAAGATGAGTTAAGAAAGATTATTTCATGAATCTGCCTAACCACTAAATCTAGATCCTGGAACAGCTTCTCTCAGAAATTTCCTTTTTTTTTTTTCCAATGTGGAAAGGATCCTATATAACTCTTTTGAGATATGTAGTATTTGTAGACTGCTTAGAGATACATATATCTATATATAAAAAAAAAAACTTCTTCTTTTAAAAAATGAAGAACCCTGATTCCAGGTTCAAGATCCTATTTCTGGTGCCCATGTACTTCCTGCCTGAAATAGTACCTTCAGGATATCCCTCCTCAAGAAAAAATGTCACACATATTGAAAGTGAGGCATCCATCCTATCTGGAGATTATAAACTCTAGAATGGGTAGGTGACCTTTGGCAGCTACTGCTTAGGAGTTCTCTTTCTCAAACAACCCCCTACTACAGGTACATACCTCCTAAGACATCATGCTAAAGAATGCATCTCAAGTGCAATAATTCATGTAAGAGTACTTTATAAACCATAAAGTGTTGTACAATCATCATCATTGTCCTTGTCTGCCTAAACAATGTAATAACAATAATTTGCATTCATATAGTGCTTTGAGGCTTGCAAAGTGCTTTTCTCACAACCACTCTTTGGTTTAGGTGTTGTGAATATTATTATCCCCATTTAACAGAGGAGGAAACTGAGTTTGAAAACAAGCAATTTTCTTAACAGCACATAACTGGAAAGTGTCAGAGCCAGGATTCAAACTCAGATCTCTTCAAGTCCCCCACTTTTCCCACATGCCTTATTGCCTCCTCAATATGAGGAAAAGAATACTAGAGTAGGAGGCTGGATATCCAGATGCTGGTCTCAGTTTTGTCACTTAGTTGAGTGACCTTGTGGGCAAATCACAAGTAATCCCATTATGGCAAGTCCCATTAAACTGTGAGCTCCTTGGGAGTAGACACTGGCCTTCTTTTCCTTGATATGTATCCCAGTGACTGGCACATAGTATGTCAGCTGATTTACAATACCTTTCTCTTGATAAATTTGATCCATTGTTGATGGACTGAATATGAAACAATTATTTTCCATCTCATCCTTAGTTTTGCAATTTTGCAAGCTTAGTTTGAACTTTCAAGAATTCAATGATAAATTCCTGAGGCATGAATAAATTAGTCTCATCTCTAGAACTAGGCAATTCATCTACCAGTTTATGAAAAATCTTTTAATATGTACCTAGATGGCCTAGCTTAAAGACAAAATCATCTAAGGTGAATAATTTTCTGAAGTCCTTTTACATAATTTTTGTTCCTATTCATAAGTGATGAATTGTCGATTTAAAACATTGTTCTATATTTTTTCCTTAAAAACAATAAATATTCATAACCAAGGAATTTCATTAATTTATTTGTTCAACAAATACTTATTAGCTGTTATTGGTAGGGAAGAATTGAAGTGTTTTCAGTAGTGGAATGAACTTGTCTGTCAAGGAGACCAATCTAGTTGTGATGTGTAGAATGAATTAAAGGGGAACATTTACTGGAGGCCAGTATGCTACCTGTTAGTATGCTATAGTTTTAGTTCAGATGAAAGGTTATGAGCACCAGAATGGTGTCTGTGGGAATAGTAGGTTAAGATCAGTTGGAGAGATCTTGAGGATAAAACAAATATATATATATGTATATATATATGACAATTGGTTAGATATATGGGAAAAATGAAAAGAAATCCATATGATTTGGAGGTTACGAGAGCATAAATGATTGTGGGTATTGTGGTACCACTAACAAAAATACAAAAATCAGGAAAAGGATTTGAGGAGTGAAATAATGAGTTCAATTTTAGTTAGATATGTTAAACGAGCTAGTGATGAGACATGTGTTTGGAGATAACTAGTAGACAATTGGAAGGGTGAATCTAAAGCTTCAGAAAAACTGAACTGTGAATATAGATTTGCAAGTCATCTGTACAGGAGTGTGAATGAAGGAGATCATCATGAAAGTTTAGAAGAGAGAAAAATATCAAGTACCACTTTGGAGAATGGACACACCTCCAAGGGTGTGCTGCTAAATGTTTAACAACTGACTATCTACCCTAAAATGTATGTAGGACACACTTTTAAGTTCAATATACATTATTAATGTTTTCTCCATCACTTTCTTAAATCTGGACAATCAACAAAACAATAAATTAAACCTCAATTTGTAAATGCTCACATTGAAAATTTAATAAGTGGCTCTCTCCAGGCTATTTGAGCTGATTCCAGCACACCCTTGGACACCCATAACCCTATGCCAAAAGAAGAAGGAGGTGGAATCTTTCAAAGGAGCATTTAGAGAAGAAAATCAGATGTTATGTCACAGAAGCCAAAGGAAAAAGGAATATGTGTGCAATCCTACAAAAAGGTCGAGAAGGATAAAGAATGAAAAAAGGTCATTGCAGGAAGCAGTGTGATTTTGTGGGGAGAGTACTGAATTCATACTTGGGTTAAATCATGTCTCTGCCATACAGTAACGGTGTATCTGTCCTCCCTTGCTTAATATCCTTGAGCCTTAATTATTTCACCTGAAAAATGTTGGTCTGGAATGGGTGGGTTTGATGGATTAGATGACCATTAAATTCTCTTCCTAATCTAACAGTTTTTGATTTGGAGAATAAGAGGTCACTCTACCTACAATACCCATCAAAATACAAATATAATTATAAGATTAAAATGGTTCAAAAGACAAATTATTTTTATTTTTACGAAAAAAATTAGTCTATTTTCCACTACTTTCAGCCTCTGTACCGGGCAACTCCCAACTGTTTAACTCCTGACTGGACATCTCATCGCCGGACTTTTCCATACTATGTGGCTCAGTACTGCTAAGCTCAAGTTCCTTACTACCCCGTAAGGACTTCATGCACTCTTCATCCATTTTATGCAGAAATTGTACTGTCCCTGTTGCCTCTGACACATTCATTCCGTTTTTAAAGTCTGGACATCCAGGCCCCCACAGTGTGCTACTAAGTGTACTTTTAGAAAAGGAAGTTTCTGATACACCTTCTGCTGGTTGAAAATAAGACATGGTTGCCAGTTCAGGTCTAATGGTAAGATTTTTTTTAGGCCTGGAAAAAAAGAACACATATTTGATTTATTTCACCAAAGCATCATCTCCAATTTTATGTTTTTTCAGAACTAAAATATTCTTAAACTTCAGCAAATATTTTTTGCAGCATAATATTCAATACAAATATTTAATTTATAAAATTTACTAGAGTAATTATGTATTATAAGTTAATAATTATAATATTTATCTTTATCAGAAGATACTAAAATTTCCTTTCATCTAGAATGTATAAAGTTTGATCAGAATATTGTGGGGCCATGTTAAAAGTCTAAATTGAGCCACTTAGATGTTAATATTTAGCAACCCTGTGTTCTTTCTTTCTTGGGTGTGGACACACACACACACACACACCACACACAAACATATACACATTTAATTTATCATTTAAGCATCATAGATTTAGTAGTGGATGGGATCTTAGAAACCATCTAATCCAACTCTCTCTTTCTACAGCTGAAGAAACTGAACGCTAGAGGAGATTAAGTGACTTAAGCTTATACAGATAACACACATCAAAGGCAAGATTTGAACCCAGCTCCTCTTCCTCAAGAAGAAATGCTTTTCTCATGGTATCATGCCTGCTACCTCCCATGATAAGGCTGTCTCTAAACAAGGGAACTTGAAACAACGATTTTGACTGAATTAAATGATTAAGGCAATCAAATAGGATAGTTCATATGAATATAACCTTAGAGGGTTTTTTTAAATTCTGAAATTATTCTACAACTAACAAATACATTTAAAGTTATTTTCCATGTAACTATTAAATCTAGTATACAATTTAAACATTTCTTAAAATAGGAGAGGAAGGAAACAAGCATTTATTAAATACCTACTACGTATCAGGCACTGTGCTAAGGGCTTTAAAATATTCTCATTTGATCCTCACATCAATGCTGGGAGGTAGTTGCTATTATTATTCTCATTTTACAGTTGAGAAAACTGAGGCAGACAGAGGTTAAGTGACTTGTCCAGAGTCACACAACTAGCAAGTGTCTGAGACTGGGTTTGAATTCAGGTGATCCAGAATCCAGACCTAGTACTCTATTCATAGAGAGGCAATATTCGTAGAAAGAGTACTAGATTGGAATCAGACAGTCTTCTATCAGAACCCTGCTATGTTACTTACTGGGCAGCTAAGTGGTACAATGGATAAAGCACCAAGCTTAAAGTCAGGAACACTCCTTCTTCCTGAGTTCAAATCGGACCTCAGACATATCTGACACTTACTGGCTGTGTGACCTTGGACAAGTTACTTACCACTGTTTGCTTCAGTTTCTACATCTGCAAAATGAGCTAGAGAAGGAAATGGCAAAACATTCTAGTATTTTTGCCAATAAAACCCCAAATGAGGTCATGAAGAGTTGGACCAAACTGAACAACAACAACAAAATGTTACTTACTACCAGTATGATCTTGGGTAAGTTATTGAACCCCCCATGGGCTTCATTGTCTTCCTCCATAAAATGAGGTGGTTGAAATGGATAATTTTTAAGGTCCCTTCCAGCTTTAAATCAATAACCCAAAGAACTTTAAAGATACTTTTTCTCTTGTTTCTAATTTCTTTTGCATTTGGATAAAGTATTCATATTTTTCTTCCAAAGCCCTCTTTGTTTTTCCAACAGAGTTTACCACACATGAACACCTTTTGTTCCATGAGTCAATCATTGTACAAAATAATATTTTTCCTTATTGAAAAGTGTTTTTGGGCTAATGTTACTATAGCTGCTGCTCATTCCTGTTGAAAGTAGCTGCTTTTAAAGGAATTTTGAAAGGCTCGATTTCATAGGGATGACTTTATTAACCCTTAAATTCAATCACAACTGATGTAGAGCAAAGGGAACAGAACCAAGAGAACAATTAATACAATAACAGTGATATGGTAAAAATAAACAACTTGGAAAGATTTAATTCTAATCTACACAGCAACCAAACACAATTCTGGAGGGCTCAAGATGAAGAATACCACCCACCACAAGATCAAGAGGTGATGCAGACGGAGACTTTAAAAATAAATAGTCATTGTGGATTTTTGTTTTGCTCAATTATACATATTTGTAAAAGGGTTTTTGTTTTTTCACAATGAGGGACTAAAAGGCAGGGAGGTAGGAGGGAGAGAACGTGGATCTGAAAATAAAATTTAAGCTTTAAAAATCCAATATGATCTACTGATGCCAATATTGTATCATTTACTATTTATTCATCATAGCTTCTTGATATAATTATACTTCTTTGTGCCACCATGCAAATGAAAACTTTGACCTCATGTGGTTCTTTCCTTCTATTTTAGCCTGAGTAATTAAATAATTCTGAGACTGAAGTAGGTTTAAAACCCATGCCTATAATTTTAAGAAGTGCTTAATAAAATGATATAGGAAACATTTATAGAGAAATTTAGTTAAAAGGAGCTTAGTAGGCAGGACCAATTGTATTGTGGAATACAGAAGCAGGTGTATGTACCATATTTGTTCAGCAGAAACAACTGTTCTGAGAGAAGGAGAGAGAAAGGGAAAGAGAGAGAGAGAATTGGAGGGGAGAGAGAAAGAGAGAGGGAGGGAGAGAGAGAGAGAGAGAGAGAGAGAGAGAGAGAGAGAGAGAGAGAGGAGAGAGAGACGGAGAGAGAGAAAGAGAGAGAGAGACAGACAGACAGAGACAGAGACAGAGAGGAGGGAGGAAATCACCATAAAACAAATCCATCAGGGTGTTTGACATCAACTTGTTACATTAAATAATTTTAATTGAATAATCACCTAATTTAGAACTGATTTAAATATAATTCCTTTAAGGAGAAAGAAAGAATAAGCACTTAACAAATAATTCTGAAAGGAAATGTTTGTTGTTCAGATCTCTGAATGCTTTTCTAGTAGAAGAGGAAATTCTGGAAATACAAAAACAAGTTGCCTTTAAGAAATAATTCATAACCTTTGTCTCCCATGATCACCAAATAAGAAAGTCATATCTAATCTGAGATTCTGTGAAATATCATTCTATTTAAATCCAGAGTCACTCTCCTTTTTAAGCAGGAGTCCACCTAAACACCCAAAAGATGAGTGCATATGAATACAAATATATTTATATATATTTATATGGAGCAGGCACTATCTTCTAGGAAGCTAGAGTGTTTTCTCACATGGAATAAACATCCCAGTTCCTAGGTTTATATGGGGAAATGACCTGAATGCCTTAAAAAATTTTTATAGCTTGGAGATTTCCTGCAAGTTTGTAGAGTGAAAGGTCTACCCACTGTGTATCATGGCACAGTAGAAAGGATTTGGAGCTAGAGGGCCTACGTTCAAATAACAGTTCTACCACTCACCTTGTGTAACCTTGAGCAAATTGCTTAACCTTTCTGGATTTCAGTTTACTTATCTGTAAAATGATTGGAGGATTGGACTACATGAACTATAGGGTCCCTTTAAACTCTAGATCTATAGTCCTACAACCCTTCAAAAAATTGCAGACATACCAAATGAAGTAAAAGAATAATAACAAAATCTTCATGAAAAATTTCTTTGCACAGAAGAAAAGAGAAAGATTTAAAAAAAAATTAAAGCCTCCACACAGGATTATGGATTAAAAGAAACCAAGGAGGGTCAGCTAGGTGGCGCAGTGGATAGAGCACTGGCCCTGGATTCAGGAGGACCTGAATTCAAATCCGACTTCAGACACATAACACTTACTAGCTGTGTGACCCTGGGCAAGTCACTTAACCCCATTGCCTAGCCAAAAACAAAAACAAAAACAAAAAACCAACAACAACAAAAAACCAAAAGAAACCAAGGAGAAAAATCCAAAAATAAAAAAATAAAAATACAAGCAAGGCCTCCAGAATAAAAATTGGATCTATTATTGGGTAATAAGTTCAGTAGTTGAGGTAACAGATTTGGCAGCAATGAAGATGGAATTGAAAAGGCCAGCTAGGTGGCACAATGGATTCAGCACTAGCCCTGAAGTCAGGAGGACCTGAGTTCAAATCCAACCTCAGACCAAACACTTGCCACTTACTAGCTGTGTGACCCTTGACAAGTCACTTAACCCCAATTGCCTTTTAAAAAAAAAAACACCAAGGTGGAATTGGAAATAACAAAGGAGGAACAGGAAAAAAAATCACTCAACAATTTGGAACAATTAATAAATCTACATATTTGCTAAGCTGTTTTGGTGAATGAGAAAATAATACAAGTGACATGAAAATAGCAAATAAACTCATAATAGAATTCAAACTAGATGAACATTTGAGAATGCTTTAAAAAAAAGGTAATGAAACAAGAAGACAGAGCCAGAGAAATAACCTAAGAATTACTGGGTCTCTGAAAAATGTTGAGAGAATTCAAGTGTCATGTTTCAGGAAATTGTATGAGATTTCCCAGAATTGTTAAAAATCAAATGAAAATTCAAATCAGCATACCACACAGGACACCAAAGAAAATGAAACCCAAATTCAATTTGTTCATAATAATCAAAAAAGGAAACATCATTAACAAAAAAAACAATCAGAAACATGAAGGATTTTTCTCCCAGGATGAAAGAACACTGTGTGGTTTTTTGTCATATTTAATGTTATACATAAATGTCAAAAAATGATATGAAAGATACATACCATTTGTGCAGCAGGCAGGAAAAGAGAATAGTGCACTGGTTTCAGAGATTGGAAGACCAGGATTCAGGTCCTACTAAAGAGACCTTGGATAAACCATTGAACCTCTCAACGTTCAAAACAATTTTTATAAATTGCAAAGCAATTGCTGATTGGTATTAACAGAGGGAGTTTTCTAACCAGCAGCTACTTACACCAATGAAATCTTAGCTTTGAGCCAAATAAGCCACCTTAAACCACAAAAAACACTCTATTACAGAAAAAATTTTCCCACAGATTTCATGTGATATGTAACTGTTGCCAAAAAATTCTATCACAACACAGGGATTCCAGATGTTAAAACAGAGATTTGATTATGCTTTTAAGAACAGGTTCAGGGCTCAAAAAAGATAACTCTGAACAAAGATTGTGATTCTAACAAAGCTTTTTATAAACAAAAATTATGTCAGAGAAGCAGGTAAATAACCTTTTAACATATAGTCTCTTAAACCTCTCCTTATAGGTCATAAAAATCACACAGACCTTCACTTTAGTCAGACAGACTTAGTTACATAATAAGAAGTTAAGTTTTCAATGTTGAGAGTTTACACTGGATTCATTGAGAGGAGTAGATTTACATGCTACAAAGATATCTAAAGACAAAGGGGATTCTTCCACAAATGAAGCAAGTTAAGTTATTCTGGGAAACCCCACCTCTCTTTTTTCTTCTTATCTCCAGATTATGACAGTTTTCAGTCACCTTAATAACCTCCTAACTAGGAAAAATGGCCTTGAACCCCACATGTTAAAGATTAATAAAAGGAAATAAAAAATTCTTAAAACAACTCCCAAGCTACTTCAACTTGCTTTCACAGGTTGCAGGTTGGGTCCTCAAAGGGATTTCTACTTAACAAAAGCATTTACTAAGATGTCAAAGCAAAAATGGTAGCTACAAATACCCCCCCCCACACACACACACCTATTAATCTGGTGAGCAATTGTCCACAAACACATGTAGCAAACATGGGAAGAGAAGGCTTAAACTTGAGACTATTATGGTAGTGATGCATACATATGTGATAAAGGTATCTCTTGTTAGAGATATCAGGAACTAGGAGGCCCTTCTTCTCTACACAAAGTCTTCCAACAGTTACCATTGCGTTTAGCATCTCTACTCGTTGAGTTACTCACCCAGTTTCCCAGTCTGCTTTTCTCCATAGTCGCCTCTTTTCTCTGATGCCAAAGACCCTGTTTCATGAAGATATTTCCTCCTTAAAATGACTGCAATTTTTATCCATATCTGTCTGAAGTGTTTGGCTCCCTCACTTGTGTCTCACATTCTTTTGAACCTATGAAACTCTCAAACTTCTGGATGCCAGGCCTGATGGCAGAGGGAGAGTGAAAACATCCTGCCCTGAATTAATCTCATTCACAAAGCCTTCTAGAGGCTGGATTCTACTGGAACTGAGCTCTTTTCCTAGGGTTTAGTTATTTCAAATCTTGATTGTCCAAATTGGTTGATCTTTTGCTTCTGTTTGAGAAAAGTGTTCATGCATCCCAAACAGGCATGGACACATATTTATAATATGTTTAAAACCATGTTGACATTTTGTTTACATTCTGGACTTTCTATGACTATATCATCTGAGGTGGGGAGAAAGAATCCCTACGCTCTCTCTGCTTATACGTTTGCTATCCCCAAATAAATCAACTAGAGCATGTTCTGGCAAAGTCCATGTGGCACAGTTTACAAATGATCTAGAAATTAATATTCTTCCACAAGTATACAGGCCTATCTTAACTTATGGGTCTAGAGATTATACTCATATTCAAACTCATTGTTACACAGTTTTAACAAGCAGACATCATTCTGCAAAAATTTTCAAAGGTTATTTTCTATCACTGTAATTGCAAAGGACTTCCCTAGCCCAAAGACAATAAGTAAAAGAAAAGGGAAAAAAAATCAAGCTTCCCTTCTCAAAGGGAAAGCCTGATCCCTACAGAGCTCCAAGAATATACAGTACTTTTCTAATAGGGTTTAGGGACTTGGGGTCAATATGAAATCAGCCTCTCACCCTTCAGGTGAGAAACCAAACTGCCTTGTCCTGGTGCTTATGTAACAACACAGGTCTCACTGGGCCAAGGTAGCTGGGACCCTCAACCTAAGGATCTGCTCTACTTTGGACCCACTTGTGTAGACCAGGTTTAATCCTGGGAGGGGGGGCAAAATTCTCCTGGACATAGAACATAAATATCTTGATGGCTTCCTGAAACACATATGGAATCTAACTAGAGGTCTGAACTTACCCATTATTACATCAGTCAGGCTAACTTAGAGCAGAAAACAAATTTTTAAAAGTTTCAGAGATATGGGGCTTCCAAATTGGTATTAAGCACTTGGGATTGGTTATTTGGGGTTTCTAGGCCAACAGGCAGTCCATTTGGCTCTCAAATTGTCTGGACTTATATAGCAATGAGAAAAATGGTCTGATTCTGCTTAAAAGCCAAAAATAAATAAAAAAAGAAAGGTATGAATTCCTACTTAGTATGTTCTAAGTGAATTGCTAGGTACCAATATTCTATGGATGCAAATACATACTGTTCATATTAGTCTCTAGATTCATGGTGGATATAAGAATACAATCAATATTAATACCAAAGCTTTCAATCATACAAAAATTGTCTCAAAGGAACTGGCATTGACTTATAAATGAAAACAACAACAACAAGAAAGCAGATTGTTCCTAGAACAGGGGGGAACCCCTAGAAAGAGTAGGTTCAAAATTGGAGTCTAATGACAGTGAGGCAAAAGAGTAACATATGTGTGGCAAAAGCAACTCCAAGTACTGGAGAACTTGGGAGTCCTTTCTAGAGTGCTCATGCAGTTCTCTTCAGGTACATCTCTGCTGCATGGGTTGCTAGCTGGGTTTCCAGGATCTACTCCTCTCCATAGCTGTCTCTTTTCTGCTGAAAGAGGACCCATTCCTCCTTTGTGAATATCCCTTTCTGTAACCGTCTGTCTGGAGTTTATTTCTCTGCTCACTCAGTTGTCCCCTGAACTCTTAAAACACTGAACCACATTGCTTCTGGACTCCACAGCCCAAGAGGGAAGAAAGAAATCCTATCTTCTGCCTACCCCAGAGGTCTCTTGCACAAGTCTCCCAACCTAGAATTGAATTCTGATCTGAGGGTTTCATGATTTAAAGCTCTGATGTCAATGAGATTACTCCCCTCAATTTCTTGAGAAAAGCATTGACACATGCAAGGTTAGGGGCAGTAAAGCATCTTTACATTTAGTTTAATAACTTATCATTACATTTTGGGTTTTCTCTAATTAATTGTGGCACCTCCTTCCCAGACATCTCTACACCATACTGCCTGCATTTTAGTCATTATCCTCTTTCCTCCTCACCCCTCTCCAAGGAATTTTGGGTTCCAGTTCCTGGAAAGTTCTTGCCTATGTCCCAGCTTCCAAATCACTTCCTGTCCATCTCCATATCAAGTCTCCATATCCTGCCTCTTAGCCCCTCTCCCTTTCTAGCTTCCCTTTATGTGCGATCTTCCCCCCACCCCATTAAAATGCAAAATCTTTTAGGTCATAGACTATTATCTTCTGTGCATAATACTGTGCCTGGAATTCACTAAGTGACTGCATCCAGATTTATGAAAACTTACCTTTTCTTCGGTGCTTGGGAGAAAATGAAACAACAAATACACGTGAAGATTAAGAAAATGATGAACGTCAACAATGATATAGTCAGCATTATTTTTAGCTTTACATCTTCTCTTTGAAGAGATTGGCTAATGGTCTCATAAGGGATGTCAGAGACTTAGAGAAAATAAAAAGAAATTAAACAAAAGTAATTAGTTATGTAAGGTACTTTAATACTGTCACACCAAAAGATTAAAATCTTAAAAGAAAATCCAGAACAGAAACTGCTCAGGTTTGAACAAAAAACTTTTACAACGGACTGACCAGTCTATAGTGAACACCTACAGGCGCTGTTTAGGGCAACACAATATTAGAAGCCTGTGTCATAATATAAGCAAAAGAACAATATTTACTAAAACATTGGTTAACGTATATGTAATTGATCTGGACCAAAAGAAACAAAAGAAGAAATCTTACTTTTCGGGAGGTTTTTTTTTAACTGCAAAGATTTTGATTAATTAGTAATCTTGAATTTTTCACCATTAGTCTCTGAGGCCTCTCCAATGTCAGCCATTTAACAAAGCAGAGATGCTAGCTCTTCTATTTAATACTTGTATGTTTTTTGGCCAAGTCACTTAATTTTTATGGACTTTGATTGTTCATATTTGAAATAATATTGTTGGATTAGATAAGTCACTCACCAGAGGTTGCTTCTGGATCTAATATTTTTTTTTTCCAGCATGGCAATTAGGATGAAGTGACTTGCCCAGAGTCACACAGCGAGTAAGTGTTATGTGTCTGAGGCAGCATTTGAACTCAGGTCCTCCTGACTCCAGGGTTGGTGCTTTACCCATTGCACCACCTAGCTGCCCCTTAGACCTAAATCTTCAAACTTTATTTCTCTATTCCAGGGTAACTTGTAAGTTCCTTGAGGCTGGGGACTATTTCTTTATGGTCCTTGTATCTCCAGTGCCTAGCAGTTCTTGGACATAAGACACAACTAAATAAAAGTTTCCTGAACTGAACTGTATTAAAAGAATATCAAAATCAGTATGCTTCAAGATTAGATTATTTTTCTAACTATGTTTTTAAATTTCTCAATGGGAAAAATTTTCTTTGCTACAATTTTTCAAGGTACTTTTTGGGCAGGGTTGCTACAAGTCTATTTTAATGAAAATACTTTCATCCAATTCTAAGCTTATATTTTTCTCTTTGAAAATTATTGATTTAATGAAACAAAGCATTATTAGATTGAATGTCCAGAGTGCTCGTTCAAAATAAAAAGCCAGGGAGATTTAAATTAGGCATCTTCTAGGTTTGTATGACTTAGAGTTGGAAAAGTACTTAGAAATTATATAATTCAGGGGGCAGCTAGGTGGCACAGTGGATAGAGCACCAGCCCTAAAGTCAGGAGGACTTGAGTTCAAATCCAGCCTCAGACCAAACACTTGACACTTACTAGCTGTGTGACTCTGGGCAAGTCACTTAATTCCAATTGCCAAAAACAAAAAAAAAAGAAATTATATAATTCATGCTTTTTGCTCATAAAAGGTGGGTCTCTGAGTTAAGAAGCTGGTAAAGATATGGTGGAAAATGAAGGTGTTGTAAAAACAAAAGATATCAATAAAGTTTTTTTGAAAGAAAAGTTATCTAGCTCCATCTTCTTTTGGAGACAGATATAGAAAGGTAAACATCACACAGAAAAAAAAGTAATGGAGTCAATATTTGAACCATTGTCCTCTAACAACAACTCTAATCTAAGTTAATTATCCAATTCTGACTTCTGGATCCTGTCAATTAGGAAAGAAGGAGTGACATTTTCCTCTTTCCCTAACTTCTGATATTAAAAAAAAACAACTCACTTTTAAAGAACACAATCTACAAACTAAGGGAAAGAAATACATGTAGTTGTCTCTCTAAGATCCTATTCTGACTCAGAAAATATTTGTTTTAGAAATAGCAAAATAAATTATAGTAAAATACGTTATCCTACTGTGTTGTTTTCTGAAGAAAAAAAATGTTGCCCATTAGTTATTGCTTTCTTTACAAAGCACGTTTTTGGCCAAAGGCATTTGTAGCAATTTATGGTGACATAATGGAAACAATCTTGGCACTAACATTATCTTTCACTAAAAGTACCAGAATTAAAAGCAGTTTTTCAGGAGATTCATCTTTCAAGCTTTGTTTGGTATCTCACACCTAAACAATATTCTGCTAATCTGAAATTTCATATACCTTGCTGGTCAATTAAACATCTCAGAGAAAATTAAACAGACAGATATTAGCATTTTGAAGACTTTTGAATTTGAAGCTAAATGATTAACTTATACTTTAAAATTTTATTATCATCCTTAAAAGGTTCTTTTCTCAGTTGCTACAGTTTTCTTTCTTCCTCTCTCTCTCATCATTGCCCTCTCCCTCTGCCTCCTCCTTTCTCTTTCCTTCTCTTTCTTCCCCCTTGTCATTTTGTTTAAAGTTCTATGGCATCTCGGTAAAATGACTCCCAGATTATATTTCAAGTGAACTTCACTTTTGTATTCAGTTTCTTACCTTTACATATATTTAATTGACTAGTGAAATATCCTCAAACTTCTCTGCACAGCTACCTTAAATTATAAGCCACTTGATCTTCATAATTATCCTGGGAAGTAGGTGCTCATGTTACAGCTGAGCAAACTGAAACAGACAGGGTATGTGACTTGCCCAAGATCACATAGCTAGTTAGTATCTGAGGGTAGATTTAAACTCAGATCTTTCTGACCTGAAGCTCAGTGCTCTATCACACTGTATTCCTAACTGCCCCCCGCCATAGCTTAATAACGAGTGAATATAATTATTTTGTGCCTACATAAAATTACATATGTTTTATAAACTATATATGTACATGAAGATCTTTTGGGGCTGATACATAAGACATACAAGGCTATGACTAGGTATGTTTGAGCCTTTGGCAAGGCAATATTCAGATAATCATAGAATCAGAAAAATCTCAGGTTTGTAAGGAAATTCAGAGGTCCAGTAGATAGCTGTATAGAAATGCCTTCTACAACATTCCCAATAACTGATTACCCAACCTTCTCCTGAAGATCTCTAGTTAGAGACAACTCACTACCTCCTGAGGTTGTTTTCTTCCACTTTTTGGATAGCTTGAATTGTTATCAAGTTTTTCCTTACATTGAACCTAAAAATATACCTCTCTGAAACTTCTGTTTTATCTAATGCTGACCTCTGGGCTCAAGTAGAAAGTCTACTTTCTTTTCCAATGACAGCTCTCATGTTCTCTTCCTGCCCTTTACCAAGTCTCTGTCTTATCCAACCTAAATCCTTGTTGCAGTTGCCACAACTTGGATGGCATGGTCTTGAGGTCTATCATCTTCCTGGATACTCTCTTTAAGACACTCTCCAGCTTATCAGTGGCTTTCTTTTAAAAAAAAAATGTGGCACCTAGCACTGAACCCAGTATTCCATATGTGGTCTGAGCAAGACAGTACAGTAGAATTATTTGAGAACAAAGAATGAACAACAATGAGGGTCGTAGATACTATGCAGGTTTATATAATATTGCTATATAGACCTGTCTTTTAAAAGTATTTCATTGATCAACTTTATGCTAAGACAAATGCCTTGACAGTCTCCTTCATTTTTCTTTGTTCCTCATTTCCTGCTAGTGCTTCTCACCTAGATTCTTTCCACCATTCTTCCTCCTTCTAGTTCCTGTATTTCTTTATATGAATATTTTAGTATGCAATGTTTCTCTACCACCTTTCATTTCTTCTGTCCCTTTTGAATAAAGATTGCCAAGCTATATTCTATTCAGGAGTCTCATCCTACCTGATTTCATTATTTCTGAGCAACACTTCCCCATGAATGGGCAATTAGGTGGTGTAGTGGATGGAGCACCAGCCCCAGAGTCAGGAAGACCTGAGTTCAAATTTGGTCTCAAACACTTGCTAGCTATGTGTCCCTGGGTAAGTCACTTAACCTTGTTTGCCTCAGATCCTCATCTGTAGAATGAACTTCAGAAGGAAATAGCAAATCACTCCAGTATCTCAAAATAAAACACCTCAAAACAGGGTCACAAAGAATCACACATGATTGAACAACACTAAGCCTCTTCATTAAAGGTAGAATGGCATAATGGAGCCTAACTGTATTTATATCCATCGCTTTCCAAATAATTCCTTTGCCCCCAAATACACACTTTTGATTGCTTGAATCAGGCATAGGAATTTCAAACCAGAAAGTTCTGAGGAAACACAGAACTGAAAAAAGATTTTTATTTACCACTCTTAGCTCTTTTGATGCTGTGAATGCCCTGTAGGGCACTAAAATCTGGCATACTCTGTCCCACTACAGTAAATAACATTAATATGCAAAACATCGAAATGAGCACATGATCTGATAGTCATTTATTTATACGTTTATTTTTAATGTTTGTTCTTACTTGGAACTGTTGACTCATTTTCATTATTAACTGCTTCCTCATCCATTTCCACTTTCTTAATTTTTGGTGGCATGGGCAGTTCCTCTAACACTGTTAAATTAATAAATATGTAGTTGCAAATTAAAGTAAGTTACCAAAACATCATCTTCTTATTATATAAAATTTTTTATATAAACATGTAAGTGCATTATATGTGTGTATATCTATTGATCAGTTCATGTATTCTCTCTCTCTTTTCTTACATAAAAGATTCACAGACTGAACATGTTGGAAAGAAATATTGCTCTCCTCCACCCTCACTCATGAAATTAAGAAAGACTTTAAGGCAATGACTAAAGTATGCTTCTTCTAGAAAAATGTTGGGGGGGGGGGTTTGGCCTCATTAGGTAATGAGTGACCATTTTACATAACGGTTTGCAATCTTATCTTTTCCTTTTATATTCAGGAATAATAACACAAGTGTTGACCTCTGGGCTCATGGAATTAGTAGGATTTATAGAAATATCAGTTCTCATAAGCTAAAAATTATTTTTGTTGGCTTATTTTATGAAGACTATTTCCGATACTTCACTGTATATGTTTACCCTTATTTAAGTGGTTCCTGTATTGGCCCTTTTCAGGATCACGATTTCTTTCTTCTGTTAAAATATAATAAGATAATATAATCAAAAGACTTGGTTCCTTTAAATTTCTGGTAGAAAGAGAAAAAAAGTATCTGACTCATACTTTAGCAATGTTAAAATATTTTAATTCTTTAACAATTACCACAATTTAGAAACATTTTTACTAGTCTAATTTGCATTAACTGGAGAAAATCTGATTTCAGATCAAGGTACATCCAGATACCTCAAGAAATGCTAACAATTGCTCATTCCTTGGTAGTAGAAAGAACAATTGACTTGGAGTCAGAAGACATGGGTTCAAACCCCAGCTCTTCTACCTACTTGTGTGAATCTGGGCAAGTTACTTAACCTTTCCTTTGGCCTTAGTTTTTTTTTTTTTAATCTGTAAAATGACAAGGTTGGACCAGGTGATCTCTAAGTTTCCTTGAAGCTCTAAACCCTATCGTCCTGTAATTATAAATAAGGATTAGCTTATTCTACAAAAAGAATCCCTATCTCTGTCTGGGGATTCTCTTTCTTTAAGACCCAATTTTGGTACCACTTTCTCAGTGAAAGTTTGGTACAATGGAAAAATCACTGGCTCTGAAGTCAGAGGATCCAGAGTCAAATCCTACCCTTGACACCACCCATGTGACTTTGGTTAAATCATGAAACCTCTCTGGGTCTCAGTTTCTCCATTTACAAAATGAGAGGTTTGGCTTTTGAGTTCCCTTCCAGCTCTTCCATACTCTCAGTTGAAAGTGATCTTTTTCTCCTCATATTTCTCAAAGGACTTTGTCTTTTGCACAAAGTTTTTAGCACTAATCACCTTGTACTTCTTCTATAATTATATAGGAGTGTGTATATGTATGTGCATATGGACATACATACATAATGCATATAAATATACAGGACATATATGAATCTATACATACACACATGTATAATGTGTTTTATATTACAAATATATGTGCACATAAATGTATGTATGTGTGTATATGTATATGTGTGTGTGTGTGAGTATGTGCATGTATATAAAAATAAGCTAGACCTGTGATTTCAGATTTCATCCATGTAGTGAGTTCTTGGTGAGGAACTTCCCCTACCAAAAAGGGTCAGCACCTTTTTCTACAACTTAGAGTCTTAGTTGGGTATGGAGTGGTTTGGAGGCAGCTAGGTGGTGCAGTGGATAGAGCACTGGGATGCCAAGCAAGAAGATTCATCTTCATGAGTCCAAATTCAGCCTCAGACACTTATTAACTGTGTGACCCTGGGCAAGCCACTTAATCCTATTTGCCTCAGTTTCATTATCTGCAAAAGGAGACAGAGAAGGAAATGGCAAACTATTCCAGTATCTCTGTCAAGAAAACTCCCAAATGGTGTCACGAAGAGTTGGACATGACTGAAATGACTCAAAAACCCCCCCCCAAAACCAGAGAGGTTTAGAGACTTTAAGATCACAGTCAGAATGTGTCAGAGGTGGGACTTGAACCAGGTTTTCCTGACTCAAAAGCCAGGTTTCTATCCACCATATTATCCTCCCTAATTATTAGGTCTGGAATTGTGTCATTTCATTTATATACCCTCAATATTGAGTACAATACCTCGTAGTAAATGTTGGTTGAACTGAATGGAAATGAACTAATAAAAATTATGTTATTGATGGTATTCGCATAGAAACCGATAAAAACACCTTTTCAAACAAATTTTGACAGTGAACTGAACTCTTGGTTCCAGACTCAGAATTATAGCAGTAAGAAATTCTCCAAGCATCCTACTGAAGTGTTTTTTTAAATGATTTTTGCTGCCCTCCTCTAATGAATTTGTTCATTATATATACGGTTTTGACTATTTACAATCAATTTTCTTGTTTTAAAAACTTTATTGTGATTTTTCTTCTCTGATTATTATGGAGGTAGTTTTACATACCTTCAGTAAGTATATCTAGATGTATGAAGTCAGGGAGTTCATTTGGTTCCAAATCATTATCTAGGAAGAGGACGATGAAGTTTATTTTCATCTAAAATTACTAAGAATCTAGGATGACAATCTTTTTTGGCTCACAAGTAGAACAATGAAAAGGTAAAAGGAATCATCATCATTATCATCGTCATAGCTTGCATTTACATAGCACTTTCAGTTTTACAAAGTGTCTTACATATATTATTCTTATTTGATCTCTGAGAAATGAGAGAGAATGACAGAAATATTGAACATTTTCCAAGGCAACTGGACAAGAAATGAAAGAAAAGGGAAAAAAAGGAACGTCATTGCCTTGATATGACCCTATTTGTAATTCTAAAGGGTAATATCAGTACTATGTTGATATCTTGCATGTCACATCTCAATCATTGTTCTTAATTATGATGTAAACTCAAAGTCACAGAATAGCCACATTCATATGTACAGACATGTGAAAAAGAGATTGCCTAAGATACAACACGGGCAAGCACTGCCAGAAACACTTCGGATTTATTACACACTTGATTTTGAATTAATTTTTGGTTGTTGCACATTCAGAAACTTTTTACTATTGCCAAATTTTTCGCAACCCCCATGTTCAGTTATGCAATTCCGCATGGGTTCATGACCCACAGTTTAAGAAGTGCTGGTTTAGACTACTGTGGGAATAGCAATGAGTCCACTATGATTACCCACACAATGATCTTAGGAAACTTAGGATCTTAGGAATGTCAGTGGTGGTAAGGATAACAGGTAGGGGTAGAGGATATCCATGGGTATATCTGCAAAGACAGAAAGGTGGAATGGAAATTAGGCCAGACATTTCCCAGTGTGACCACTAGGTGTCTCCATAAACAAAAGACAATTCTGGGAATGGTCCAGAGTGAGGACAGCAGAGGGTAGAACAGAAAGAAGGTAGCATGAAATCAGCAGTTATGTGCATATGAAACACTCAGAAATGGGGTATTCACTACTCAAGTAATACATTTTTAAGTATTCGACAGAGATAAAGTGCTGGGCAAAGATTACGTAGGCATGCCTTACTCTCTATGCTTCTGTGAATGTGGGGTATATACTAACAAAAACTAGAGTGACATTGTTTTTTTTCCTTTCCAGCAGTTTTCTACCTCATTCGCTTTTGTCTAAATTAGAAGGCCTAAAGTACTCCTGGATAGTGTAGTTTAGACCAGGGCTTCTTAAACTTTTTCCACTCACAACCCCTTTCCACCTAAGACATTTTTACATGAGCTCAGGCATATAGGTGTATAAAATAAGCATACAAATCAAACATTTATTGATAATAAATCATAAAGAAATTTATTGTAAAATAATTCTTTGGTATACATATAATTTTACCATTTATTAAAGATGAAAGCAAATTTGCATACTAATGACTTGGATTGAGCTTATTTATTTTTACATAAAGAATCAAATCTTGGCGGAATATTTGACTCTGCAGGATGCGGAGCATCTTCAACATTTTTCAGAGTTGATCTATATTTCAATTTTATAATCGTCAATGCTGAGAACACTGCTTCACATAAATACATGGTACAAAATGGCAGAAGTATGTTTAGGGCCATTTCAGAAATTGTTGGAAACTCTGTCCTAATGCCAAGCCAAAATTCATTTGATATTTTATATGTATAGTAAAAACACTGCAATTTATAACATACGATGCCCTCAAATCTGAGCTGAGGTGTTTTGGGCAGAGTTTGTTGGCGTTGTGTGGCACGATAGCATATGCAGTGCAAAGTGTGAGTGTTGTATGTTCAGAACCAAGGCTACAGTGAGGTTGTGTAATGCAACACAGGCAAGTGCTGCCAGAAACACCTTTTTGCTGTTGTAAAATTTTTCACGACCCCCATATTTAGTTATGTGACCCCACATGGGGTCATGACCTACAGTTTAAGAAGTGCTGGTTTAGATTACTGTGGGAATAGCAATGAGTCCACTATGATCACCCACACAAGGATCTTGCTGACAGAAAAGAATATCACCCATTAGGGGCATTGATTCAAGGTAAGATTTGTAGTCCCAGTAGCTGAAGTCCCTCAAAAAAACAGGTGACAAACTCATCATCCCTATAATTTATTTTGGACGAAAGATGTCTAGATTACCTGATCCTATCTATTTTCCCCTGAGTCTCTGGGGCTGTGCTATGGGAGCTCCATATTTAGGATCTCCTTTGGGATTCCTGGGAATGTAGCAATAAAATATGCAAAAGGAATCAATTATTGTTACTCCAGAGTGGGAATTGGTTGTATTGTTTTGTTTTGTTTGAATCAACACAATAGCATTTGAAGTGGCAAGAATTCTCTGAAAATCTCAGGGCAATGTCAGAGTCAGTGGTACAAAAACATTGGGCTCTTAAAATTTTGTTGAGGATTCCAGAGATCCCCTCAAAGCTCCTCTCTCTAAATCAAGAGTTCTTAACCGGGCATCTGCAGACCCCTTAGGCATAGATTCAGGGTACATACTTATTTCAGAGGGTCTGTGAACTTGGAACTTTTAATATTTTTATAACTATTTCAAAATAATTGGTTTCCTGTGTAGTCCTATTTATTTTTGTTATGCCATATTGTTCTGAGGGTCCATAGGCTTCACCAGACTGTCAAAGAGGTCACACACACCACACCACACACACACACACCCCACACACACACACACACACACACACACACACACACATATTAGGAATCCCTGCTTGGAGAGAGTCAGTTTGCCAGGCTGCTCAAGTTCTAACTTTCTACTTTTTAAACTCCAAATGCCATTTTCAGTATATTTGCATACTGTTAATGAGATGCCCGATGTTGAACTTCTTTCTCAAATGGCATTTCCCTATGAGATACTGCTACCTGTCTTTTAAATCATAAATTCTGAAGTTTGAAATGCTTCAAATGCTATAAGAAAAACTAGTTATAAAAATGAATTGAATCGCTCATCCTTGCCTTCTCAGAGTACATAAACTTACTATTGAGAATCATGTCAAGAAATGCTTACCCATGGTTATAAACTTACAGTCATGTACTTTAGGATGCTGTATTTCTTCTTCAGGTGTTTCCCTTGAAAGGTTTTTAACTATAAAGTGAAATACACATAAATGTTTGCGATCTTTTCATAGTCTCAAAAGTAACCTGTTGCTAGTATTGCTGATCATTTACAGAGTAGCCATGCTTGGTGGGAGAGCAAAAGGTGGAAATTGAAGTTAAAAAGAGAAAGAAGTGGGGAAAATAAAAAGATGGGAGAAGTTGGATCATGTTATCTTAACAAACAATTCATTGTTCTAATCCCAAGCCAAAATTCATTGGCTAATTCTAGCCTCCTGAACATTTTTCACTATAATTGCTCTATGTCTTCTTGGAACACAGAGACACGTATTCAACGATAAACAATATTAGTTCTTTCATCTTTGAAATTTATCAGTGCCATGGACCACTGAGTTCTGAGTGAGTGGAGAGAAGATCCTCCTAGAATATTACGCCATAGAGTGAAAATGGCCTGAAAGCCCAGTGTGATTGCCGTGTCTTAGGAAACTATCAATCAATCTACCACAGGAATCAGTTCTGCTTTACAGGGAAATCATTTGGATTTGTTTAGAATCAATAAAAAGAAAAACCACCTTGTTTGGGCCCTGCTTGGTTGATACCTTTGCTACTTAGGGGTGGGGAGCCCAAAACTTGACACAGTGACTTTCAATACTTACGGTAGTCTTGAAGGTTATGCATACTGTCTTTTAATATTCCATAGCTTTCAGCAGAAAAATTAAAAGTTTTCTCAACTGTCACTAAAAAATAAAAAATCTTCAGCAATTAGTTAAGTTCTCATTTTTGACAGATTACATTCACAAGGCATGTTAAATAGTAATAATAATCGACATCTATATAGACTTTTAAGGCTGGCAAATTACTCTATGAATATTACCTCATTAAAGCCTCACAAAGGTCATAGGTTGTATGCCTAATAATAGGGCAGCTAGGTGACACAGTAGAGTGACAGGCCTGGAGTCAGGAAGACTCTTCTTCCTAAGTTCAAATGCTGCCTCAGACATTTACTAGCTGTGTGACCCCGGGCAACTCAGTTAACCCTGTTTACCTCAATTTCCTCATCTGTAAAATTAGCTGGAAAAGGAAATGGCAAACCACTCCAGTATCTTTGCCAAGAAAAACCCAAATAAGGTCCTTGAATAAATTGCTCACAATATTTTGGTATAATTCATCTTTGTAATCTGCAAGACATTAGTTTTTCTCATTTTTTACTCCTGAACCATATTTTCCATCATACCTACGTATATACACACACATTCACACATATTTACACACATTCACAATGTCCTCCTTTCAAGAAGTCAAGAGTAGTAATGTATTTTTGGAGTATTAATGTATTAATTTTTATAGACTTCCTCTTCTGTATTAGATGTTCATGCATAAGCTGCACTTATTTTCATAATGGTCTTTTTACAGATAGTTATCATGGGCATCACAATATCAGATAACCAAATGCCACATGAAATGATGCTTCTTATTATCTTGAGTGTACAATAAAACTTTGACAACTCCTTACAAAAAGAAAAATTATTTACCTAATAGAAGGGGAATTCTTACTGTGAATATATGGGGGTTGGTTGGTTATAAATTGTACTTTAAAATCCTTAGAATTTAAATGGACACTTGGAAAGCATCTCACAATACTTCCATGTTCATTGACTTGGATGATTCCTGTGCTCATGCAGATTGCAACCCATCTTACCACAAATCTTAGTTAACTCACCACACGTCTGTCAGTTGTTGATGTTTTTAGGTGACAAATAATCATAAGACTACAGAAAACTATTAAAATAAAATAAGAACTTCTAGAGATAATCTCATTAAGCTGCATAGGCAAAAATAGTAGTAGGAAATGAGTTCTATTTAACAAGTAGATTGAACTACAGGATGAATCAGAATAAAAAAGAAATGTAAAATGAATATTAACATACTTGGGAACATATAAAACATGACAGTAAAATCAAATCATTGTAGACAATTATTATAAGCACAAGCCTGTTAATTTTTCCCTTTACATAAGTAAATTGTAAAATCGTACATTGTAGTGGAGCTACGTCATATCCCTCAGTAACATCAAAGTTCGCACTATCATTAATGTCACTATTATCATCTTCAGTGCTTTTGTTAACATCTTCATTGTGGCTTGATAAAATAATAGTTTCAGGGAAACCTAGGAACATGAATATACCATTTATTAGAAATCTGACATTAATTCCTTTATTAAATACAATAAGCATTTTTTTATCCTCACATACTCATTTTAGTGAGACAATTTTGACATGCATTTTTGTTTTACTTTGGAAAATATTGTAGTGGTGTCTTTTATAGAGTTTGCATTTCCATTATATTCTGGGCTATCCTTGTGTCAGAACCATATATACATTATGGTTATACTGTTATTATACATGAAAACTTACTTTTGCTTACTTTATTAAGGTCTTATAAAGTTCTCTGGATACAAAGTCATATAAAATAATATGCAGAATATAGCATTGGAAGAATGAAAATGAAAGCCTTCTGTGTAGTAGTGAAGTAGGAAAAGGAAGGGATAAGTGTAATGACATCTCTTCATCCATGAAGCAAGTAATGGAATGAAACAATATATTTCCTTTCATCTAGCTGTATCCAGAAAGTTAATAGAAGATAGGGACGTGACACTGAGATAGTTGGAATCTCAGAGACAACAAAACAAATGTTCCTGCTGTTGACAAGCATGTTTTATACTATGGCACCATAAAGCATCACTTGCTGTGTGACCCTGGACAAGTCATTTAACCCTATTTGCCTCAGTTCCTTATCTGTAAAATGAACTGGAGAAAGAAATGGCAAACCACCCAACATCTTTACCAAGAAAACCCCAAATGAGATCACAAAGTCAGATACACCTGAAACGACTGAATGTCAACAACCATAAAGCCAGTGGCATGTCATTTCATAATAATCTCATGATTTTTTAAAAAACAGGTTTAATGATAAGTCAATTAAATGATCTCAGAGGTAATTTTTCCATTTTATTTTATTCTACTAACATCTGCTAAGTTTTTATGCAAGATACTATGTTTGGTGCCAGAGAATATAATGATAAATAAAACATGTCCCTGACTCTTACAAGTTAACAGGATAATAGATTCAGAGTTAGAAAGGGCCTTGTAAGTCATCTAGTCTCATCTGTTCTTTTTTATAAATGATGAAACTGAGACCTAATATGCTCATGGTCACATAGATTGTAAGCAGCACAGCTAGGATCCAACTTTAGGTGTTCTAACTCCAAATCCAAGAATTTTTTCCATTGAATCAATAACACATAAAAATGCATACTTGTAATACAAAATAGAGTTCTCAGAGAAAGTAGGGACCCCAGAGCTCTTCTAGTGCAACTTTTATACCTGATTAAGAGCTACGGATGGGGCAGCTAGGTGGCACAGTGGATAGAGCACCAGCCCCGGATTCAGGAGGACCTGAGTTCAAATCCAGTCTCAGACACATAACACTTACTAGCTGTGTGACCCTGGGCAAGTCACTTAACCCCATTGCCTAGCCAAAAATAAATTTAAAAAACAAAACAAAACAAACAAAAAAAAAAGAACTATGGACAAATGGCAATCCAAGCTCTGCTTGAAGATCTCCAGTGAAATGGGATTCCCTAACTTCCAAAGAAGTCCATTTCATTTTTGGATGGCTGTACTTTTTAGGAAGCTTTCTCTTTTATTTAGTTGAGATTTTCTCTAGTTCTTTAGTTTTGCCCTCAATGACTAAGCTTCCTCCAACTTTCCATTCTGGCTCTTCAAAAATGCATAAAAATCTGTCATGTTTCCCCTTTATTTTTTTTTTTTACCTAAGTATCACTTATTCATTCTACTGATTCAATTTATTAAGCCCCTACTCATACACTTGCATAGAGCCTACCCTGCCCCTTGGTGTTGTCAGTCCCTGGGAAAGTATCCCCACTACTCTTGCCCTGAGAGGAAGGGTCTGACCAATACGAATGTTTCACTGAGGTATGCAGGTATACCTTGCCCAGACTTTACACCTACCTACATACCTATTATGTGCAAAGCAATCTGCTATGTGATGGGTGTACAAAGACAAAGTATATTAGTCCCTTATCTTAAGAATTTTATATTCTTTTGGGGGCCTATGACCATACACAGATATGTTTACACATTGTAATCTGAGGAAGGAAAGTATTTGTTAGTAGGGGCAGTAGAGAAGGCATTACGAAAAGATAGCATCTGAATTGAGTCTTAAAGGAAAAAAAGAAGGATTCTAAGATTGAGAGGAGAAAGGAATGCCTTCCAATCATGACAGAGGAAAGGCTATGTTAAAATATGGTGGCCAGAAATTAATTTAAGAAATAATCTTCTACAGCTAGAATGTAGAAAGCCTGAAGAGAAATAGTTTGAGGTAAGGGTAGAAAGGCAAATGGGAGCTTGATAGCAAAGAGAATAAAATTTGTATTTTGAACTAGATGCAATGAGGAGTGACTGAAGATTTGTAAGCAATGCAGTGTCATGACCAGACCTGTGCCTTACAAAGATTGTTTTGGCGGCTATATGGAGAAACATTAGAAAACAGAGAGACTGTAAACAAGGAGGCTAATAAGGAGGCTATTATAGTTTTCCACGTAAGAGATGTAAAAGGCCTTAAATACAGCTGGTAGTCTCTCTGAATGAAGAGAAGAGGGGTGCTAGGTGGTGCACTGGACAGAGTGCCAGCCCTGAAGTCAGGAAGAACTGAATTCAAATCCAGCCTCAGACACTTACTAGCTGTGTGATCCTGGGCAAGTCACTTAACTCTTGTTTGCCTCAGTTTCCTCATCTATAAAATGAGCTGGAGAAGGAAATTATAAACCATTCCAAATCTTTGCCAAGAAAACCCCAAATAGGGGCATGAAGAGTCAGACATGACTGAAATGACTAAACAACACTTATAGTTTTCCAGGTGAGAGGTGGAAAAGGGCTTGACTATAGCTGATAGTTTCTTTGAGTGGAGAAAAGAGGAGGGATGCAAGAAATGTTATGGAGGTAGAATCGGCAAGACTTGTCATTTGATTGGATATGAGGGACAAAGAAGAGAAAAGAATCCAGGATGACTATAAGGTTACTCAATAACTAGGAGGATCAGCAGAAGGAAGAAGGTAATCGTAGGGCTATTGGAGTTAAAAGTGGAAGGGACCAAGGATGCCATTTATTTCATTCCTCTCATATTATTTTCCCCTTTAATTTAAAAATATTATGAAATTAGTGAAAATGAATATTGTATATAGAGAAAAAGAGGATTATATATAAAACCATAAGCTTTTATTACATTAAGTTTTTAAAGCATCTATTAAATTTAACACATTAGTACCAAAATTGCCTTATTTATCTGTGATCCATTCTGGACTTCCTCATCTGTATTTTAAAATGTTTCACTAACATTCTTTTCTTTTATTTCTTCTTCTGTTTTTGCAGCACTATTACCAATCCACCCTGCTCTCTTCCACAAATCTCAGCCTCCTCTCCTTCCCCAAATAAATGTTCTCCTATGTAACAAATAAGTATAGTCAAGCAAAACAAATCCATATATTAGCTATGTTTGAACCTTTCTTCCATCACCTCTCTGCCAAAATATAGAAGCATACATCATCATAAGTCTTCTGAAGTTATAATTGATCACCAAATTGATCAGTATTCTTAAGTCTTTCAAAATCATTTTCCATTACGTTATTGTAGTGGATGTATAAGTCATTCTTCTGGTTCTGCTCACTTCATCTGCATCAATTAATATGAATTTTCCCATGTTTCTCTGAATCCACTCATTTCCACATTTCTTACAGTGTAGCAATATTTCATTGCATTCATGTACAATAATTTGTTTCACCATTATCCTATTGATGAGTTCCTATTTTGTTTCCAGTTCTTAAACACATCAAAAAGTACTGACATAAATATTTCTATACATATAGGTTCTTTTCTTCTGTCTTTGACTCTCTGGGGGTGTTTCCCTCATTTTACTGTTGAAGAAACTGAAAGTCAGAGAAAATAAATGACATCATCAAAGTCACATTGCTAGTAAGTAGCATTACATTCTATTCTACATAATATAATATATAAAATACATATTTTATATATATAATATAAAGGGGGGAAGAGACAGTGAGATATATATACATATGTGTGTGTATATATATACATATATATATATATATATATATAGAGAGAGAGAGAGAGAGAGAGAGAGAGAGAGACAGACAGACAGAGAGACAGGGACAGAGACAGAGACAGAGACAGAGACAGAGAGACAGAGAGAAAGAAAGACTGAGAGTAGCATAGTTTAAAATCCCCTCACCATTCTGGTCACCCTGCTCCAGACAAGCTGCAGCTTGATAGTACCCTTCCCAAAATGTAGTGCCCAAAAGAGGTGCAAATAAAATGCTAGAAATCTGAGAAGGGGAGGATTATGTCTGCTCTTGAGGCAAGTTTCATAAAGGAAGGGATAATCGAGCTAGCTCATAAAGGATGATAAAGTTAGTCAATCAATCAATAAACGCTTATTAAGCACCTATGTGCCAAGCACTGTGCTAAACACTGGCAATATAAAAAATGGCAAAAGATAGTCTTTATCCTCAAGAAGCTCACAATTGAATAGGGGAGACAACAAGCAGATAAATACAAACAAGCTATATATAGGAAAAAAAGGAAATAATTAAAAGACAGAAGGTTAGAATTAAGAGAAACTGGGAAAGGCTTCCTGTAGAAGATGGAATTTTAGTTAGGACTTAAAGTTTATTGGAAAGTGGTTCAAAAAAGAGAAAAGAATTATGGGAGCAAGCCACAAAAGCCAGAAGGCAAGGATGAGGAGGAAGAATATTCCAGCAGTAGAGAACAGTTAGAGAAAATGCCTGGAGTGGAGAAATGGAATATCTTCATCAAACAGCAAGGAGGCCATTGTCACTGGATAGAAGTGTGAGAAGGTGTGAAAAGACTGGAAAGGTAGGAGGGGGCTATGAAGGCCATGCCAAACAGAGGATTTGTATTTGTATTTGATCCTGGAGACAATAGGAAGTTACTAGAGTACATTCAGTAGGATAATGGGGAAGGTCATGATTGTATCTGTGCTTTAGGAAAATCACTTTAGTGGCTGAATGGAGAATGAATTGGAGTGGAGGGAAACTAGAAGCAGGCAGAC